ATTAAAAAAGGGCCGCTGCAGCTCTTTCAAGAAGTACAGTATTTGCAAGAGAAAAAGGTGCCTAAAGTGGGGCATGTCTTGTAAGGGACAAGAATTTTCTCCATAGCAATGATGGTTCTTGCCTGCGTTGACCCCCAATGAGACAATTTATAATGAATTAGAACCGTTAATATGGACATGATTTTTCTGTCTGGATTATAATTTATATGGTAGGTTTTGATTATATTCTGATTTAGCTTTTTCCTATTCAAAGTTGGTTGGCTGTTTTGCTTTGGGTTCCTGTTATGCTTGTGGTTGAGTTGAACTTGTCCTAATTCTCAAGTCCAAGCCAGGTCAAGTATTGGTGTGGCCTACAACTGCAGGCACCCCCGTAGCTAGCCTGAAATATAGACATGTAAGCTGATTAAGTTTACAAATTTTCTGAGAATTTGGGGTAGTTGCAGTTAGTGATTCATTACAAGCTCACAATGCTATCTCCCTCTCGAATGTTAGAAGATATCTCAATTTCAAATCTTTCGTCTGTGAAAGAAAATTTTCAGACTCCCTCTATCAAAACAAAGAAAGTCGGCCATATTCTATAGACACCCTTTCAACCATTCATTTTTCTCCTAAGCTCGTCCTCAAACACAACCTTTTGGTTGGCATAGTGGGTTGGGTTACTATGGAATCTGGATTCTCTTTATCAAGGATTGGCACAAGCTAAGAAAGAAACAAGATCCTCCACTTTCCTTGAGCAGAAAAGGAGGCCTTACAAGATATGACCATATCTTATATATTTGCCATACTACAAGTCTACAAGTTGTGAAGTCAATCCAATTACAATAAGGCCCTTAACTCTAACAAGTGCCTTTTGTTTGATGCTCCATTGTTCAGAAGATTGCAAGTCCAAATCAGTTATATAATGTTGTCCTAACTTCTCCTCCTCCTTTACCTACTGAAGGGAGAACCAAAAAAACAAAAGAGTACCAATCAGAATAAAGTGATGCACACATTGCAATTCTTCGATCTCCCACCGCACTTTGTGTGCTAGGTGCTACCATAGGCTTCTCTTTGCTCATTCAATGGTGCTACCATAGGCTATTCTTCAATATGAAAGCTAATACAGATTGACAATCGAACTAAGCAATTATGAATTATATAACTATTTTTATACCAACGATATTGGAGGAGGGGAATATTCTCACACACAAATTGTCAAGGTACTATGGAGGTTCGAACTTGAGATCACTGATATGCAAGTCAAGTCCATTTCCACTAGAGTAGGCCTCGTTAGCATGAATTATAGAACTTGGAACTAAAGTTGATAGACTAAAAGTCAAGACATTTAAAAAGAGTTTTTCTATTTCAGCCCCACGTTTTTTTTTTGTTCACCCCAATACTTAAATCATTAGGCTCTTAAGTTTTATTATTGTGTAAAAAGATTATTAAAAAAAAAAAAAAAAGGCCATCCAACTTAATACTTAACCCTAATACATCTATACACACACCCTACCACTCTTCATATTAAGTTTTAGAAAAACACAAACTCCTATGCACCCTATTGCCAGATTACTTTTCTCTTTCAATCCAAGAAGCCTACTACACTCTCATCTTCTCTTCACAAACCCTAAATTGGGATTGCGAGAGTAATATAGATGGATAGGGATGGAATGGATATTACGATTTCCCCTGGCATTGCGTTCCTTCCTCACCTCTCTCTCTCTCCCTCTCTTTCTTTTATTAGCAGATTTCTTCCACGCTTATGCTGCTTGTTTTTATTTGTCTCCTAAATTGACATAATGCCCTTAATAATATAAACATAGTGTTCAATGCATCCATGTACAACATATATATAAATATATATATATATATAATAAGAAAATATACATCAAAATACCATGTGCTAGATCCGTTTTCCAGAGCAGAACAAAATTCTTGATGAAGAACAACTACACTTGTAAGCTATTACTTGTAAAATATTTAGGGGTCGTTTGGCACGGTGAATTGTCATAAACTGGACTAAATCCTGAGACTGTCTTGGATTAGCTCGGATTGGCCTAAGCTGAATTAAGTATTGACCTACAAGGAAACCTAATTCAAAGATTTATAACAATATCTGGAAAAAAAGAAAAAGATTTAAAACAATAATAAAAAGAAAACAAATAAAATTCTGTTTTTTTTTCCAATGAAGAATAAAATTATGGTATTTATTTTTTGGCTTCTCAAGATTAATCTTAATTTGTCGAAACATTGTTAAAGGAGCTAAGATCACTCTATATAATTCTAGGTTTTTCAGGAACCAAGTAAAACAATAATTAAAATTATATATATATGTATAATTTTTGTATATTTGACTTTTGCCTTCAAATTGAAAAATATAATTTGACAAGGTAAAAATTGCTCGCAATAAAGAAAGCATCACATCAATTATTAAACTTGTTTCAATAAAAAAAAATTTCAAACATTTGTAAATTACTATACTTTGATTATGCAATATCAAAATAATTATTGTAATATTTAAATTTAATTAACGATTTTTATCTAAAATAAATAAATGCTGCAAAAAAAAAAAAAAACCATTCAAATATCTAAAACAATAATTAAAAGAAAACAAATAAATTTATGATATTTATTAAAAAGAGGCGTTGGATTCACATGTTCTATTTAGCGAACCACTTTTTAGGCTCACTGTATTAGACAAGCGAGTGAGGCGTTTTTTCACTATTGGACTATACAGTCTCATTTAAATTAGTCCCGTCTCTTACCAAACAAGGGTTTCGAATGTTATTTAACCTAGTCCAATCCAATGAGGCGTACCGAACATGGCATTAGGGTGCAAAAGAATAATGATGTAGTAATGCCTGCAAAATGTTGGTATGAAACTGCAAGATGAACTTGAAGATCTTAGGATTCGTGTGTAGGGTGTGAGGTTGATGAGTTTTTAAATTTTTCTTTTCTTTTTTGATGGGTGTGTATTTAGGGGTAGTTTGGAAAGAAAGTGGAGTTTTATTAGAAATTGTGAAAATTTGAATTAGAAGTTGGAGGGAACAAAAAAAAAAAGTGGGTTTAAATATAAAAACTCTTTAAAAAAGAGACATTGCGTTTCCATTGTTATGTCTCTCTTGTTTATAAAGGCCTTGACTATGCATTAGTGGCCCAAATTATCTTTAGGACTCTAACTAGACTTGATCTTCATAGTTGTTTGATGTCTTTCGACCATTGACCTCTTATGTATTAGGACTTTGCTTGGCACGAGTTCTTTTCCATTATGCATTCTAAACCCTAGGTATTTAATTTATTTTTTGGGAAAATTGGGTGTAGTATCGTGTCTCTCTATCTTTCTATATTATTAAGAAAACTCATCTCACGTGTCTTTATTTAAAGTACATTTTCTTGCTTATAACAAATGTAATATTAAACTTACAAATTATGGGTAAAATCAGAGAAATTTTTATATGTTTCGAGTACATCACGTGGCTGGTGTACTATCCAATACACATAGAATATGTGGAATTATTCCCCAACTTACTACATTGCTTTTTATGACATGTGGTTGGCTGTATTGGAAATATTCCACATGTCCTATGTCTATTTGATGGTACACCAACCACGTGATGTACCCGAAACACTTAAAAATTACTAGTAAAATTATTTATTTATATAAACGATAGTCTTAACTATTAATGATATGTTTACTAATTCGTAATCGGATTATGAGGAATTGAATTGAGGAGGAATTGGATTCATGAGAATTAGATTCCGAATTCCTATTGAAGTTTTTTTTTTTTTTTTTTTTTTGGGAAAATTTTAGGTTTCCTTTTTAAATTAACCAAAAAAAACATTAACCCCAAAACGCCCAAAC